AGAGCACTAGCTGCTTTTCCAAAGGACCCAGGTTCAATTCCCAGCACCCACATGGCAGCTCACCACTGTCTGTAATTCCAGTTCCAGAATCTAATGTCTTCACATACAAATACATGCAGGCAATACATATGTGTGTATATGTGTGTATATATGTATATATATGTATATGTATATATATATATATATTCTGATGATTATCTCAGAAAATATCTCCCAGGGTAAGGACAGGTTGTCCATTTGCATGTGCAGGAGGCCAAGGCCATGGCCCCAGGTCGAGAGTTTCATAAAGCAAGGACCACAGCCCAGGGGGTGGCTTTCACCTGTAATCACAGCACTTGGGATGCTGAGGGCTTCAGAATGAGACTTTGTCTCCAAAGCAGAGATAGGGATGGGTGGGAGAAAAGGAGAAAGAGGAGAAGGAAGAAGGAGGAGGAGGAAGAGGAGAAGGAAGGAAGAGAAGGAAGGAGGAGGAAGAGGAGGAGGAAGACGAAGAGGAAAAGTGAAAGCCAGGGTCACAAATGGTCTTTCAAAGGCTGCTTGAGAGTGTGGATCTCCTGGTGGAAGCAGTCAGGTAGTCACACAGTGAGTCCCTTCTTCAGGGCTTGGGTATTTGCACCGGCTTTAAGTCAGCAGCTATTTTTAGCTTTGCTTTATATGGCCAGGGAAGGAATGAGGGCTATAGCAGGGGGAGGACGCCAAGAGGCTTCAGCCCAGGAGCCTTCCCCCACCCCCAACCCTTTCCCATGCCAGAGCTGAAGAGCTTAACCTCCCATCAAAGCAAGTCTGGGAAGAGAGGGAGGCTGGGTGGAGGTGGGAATGGCAGGGCCTTCAAAGACAGTCCTGGGTAAGTTTTTTTAGAACAGTGACTTCCAACCTTTTGGGCCATGACCTGCAATAACAAATACTTTTACAATATGACACAAATAAACACAGATTTTTTAAAAACACACACACATACAGTGATACATATATGTGTGGATATATTATATTTGTATACATGCATGTATACATATATAACCTTGACTAAATTTTTCCAGGAAATAATGCTCCAACTTGTTCTCCAAGAAAGGCTACAATAGTTTCTGTTCTATACCTGCCATTCCTTCAATTTGGAAAATGTAGCTTCTGACCCACTAAATTGATCTGTCTACCAACAAACCACTTGGCACCTCCAGTCTGGAAAGCTGATGTTTGCTTTGGTTTAGTCACAGCTGCCTGCAAGGCAAGGCAGTGTCTCAGTGTCCAGAACAAGATGCAAGTTTCAACTACGTGTGGAGACTGAGACCCGTGCTTCGGGCCTCCTGCCACTGTGGACTTTGGCCTTCCAACCAAGAGTGCAGCTCACTCATGAACCTGTGGCAGGGCATAACTTGCCACTTACTCCAGGAAGTCCTCCTGAATCCTGGAGTTCCAGCCCCGTGCTCTAGTCTGGGCACCCGGCCTTTCCTAGCACTGGCCACTGGGCTGAGTGTGGCTCCTGTTACATTCCTGGCTTGGTCATTCTGTTCTTTCTACATTTCCCAGTAAAGTGTGGTGCTTGCCTTGCAAAGCACAGTATATGCTTCTTGAATGAATTGATAATCTCAGTAGTAATGACAGCAACTACCGCTTGCTGGATTCTGTCATCTCCCCTGTGTGAAATAAATGGGTGGGTTTGATGGCTGGCTCAGCAGGGAAAGGCACTTGCCTCTGAGCCTGATCCTGGGTGTTCAATCTCCAGGTTACACACCACGGAAAGAGAAAACCAACTCTTGCAAGCTATCCTCTGACCTCCACACATATGTTGTGGCTGTCACATATGCCCTTTCCCTCCCCTCCAATGAATAGCATAATGATATTTTTAAATCATATGAACGATTAGAAGTGGTTCATCACAGGGATGAGGAAACTAAGGCTCAGAAATAATCCGGTGGGGCAGGGTCATAACCCCAGACTTGTCTGGCTCCCACCTGCTCCTAATCTTAGGATTTTATTTGTGCGCATTCCTCTCGATGCCACCCAGGAGAGGGCAAGGGGCAAGTCCTTAGCAAACCCTCAGGGGACTGATGACAGGGTGATTAAAGACATTTTCCGAAGCAGCGGCCACATCTAAATTTGGACAGTTACACCTTGTGTGTGGCTTGGGAGAGAGAACCCACGAGGTTTCCAGAGGCCCTGGCTGCGGGGCCATCTCAAGGGGAGGGAGAAAGGCTGGACAATGCAGGGCACCTGCTCTTCTGACCACCTGGCCACTAGAACTCCCGGGCACACCTGGGCTCAAACCCCAGGCCCACAAACCAGGGTCACCTAGCCTATGCCTTAAGTTCCAACCTGTGCTCCTGCCTCATCCTCCTTGTTCTTCAGACATGCCAAGCTTAGACCCACCCCAAAGCCTTTGCACCTCTGCTCCCTGCTTGGGAAGCTCTCCTCTCTAGTCCTCCACAACCCTGCATCCCTGTCCCACTGTTAAACCTTGAGAAATTAGAGAGAGAGAGTGGGTGTGTGCACGTTCCCGTGTGTGTGTGTGTGTGTGTGTGTGTGTGTGTGTGTGTGTGTGTTCATTTCCTGGTTTGCTTCTGTCTCCTTCACTAAACAGGAGCTTCTGGAGGACCGTGTCTTCTCCCTGCTCTAGTCCCTAACACTAGGCATGGCACAATGACAGTGTCGTTGACTGAAGGAGTGAATAGGTTCCCTTTTTTAAAGACATGTTTGCAGATCAGCCCATCATGTCCTGTGCTCACCTCACTCCAGCAAGCTGTAACCCTGTGACTCACCTCCAGATCACCAAGCCCACGGAGATAGAGAAGAGAAATAGGGAGGGATGTTTGGCACACACTGCCATGCATCTTTTTGCATAGGTGACCAATACTGAGGATGCTCAACACAAACATCCTCTGAGTTGAAGGGCGCTGATTTGGAGACTTGGTGAATGACTCAAGGTCATTGGAATTTGTCCTCAATTCAATCCAGTTCCATCCAGTTCTATAGAGCTGCCCTATGTTGCCCTCAGAAGCTGAAGGACAGAGCTGAAGGTGGGCCCTCGGTCCAGGCATAAACCCATCCTGCATCTTAAGTCGCCCTCAGTGGGCCTCAGCTTGCGTGAACTCACCCGGCGGGCTGCTCTTGTTCAGCCCTCCTTCCTTGCTCCCCTCTCAGAATGCCCCTTTCCCATATTCTGCCACAAAGAAGAGGAACAAGTCATGACTACGTCGGCCTACAAGTGGTTTTCATGCCAAGAGTAACTTTTTTTCTAAGGGGCCACGGTTCATCAGGGAAGTCTCACAGAAACGCCCCAATCAGGGGAGCCATGGCACATGGTGGTGCATGCCTATAATCCCAGTACTCTGGAGCTGAGGCAGGAGGATTACAAATCCAAGGCAGCCTTAGCTACCTTCTGTCTCAACAAAAAAGACTGCAGGAGTTAACTGTTTTCTGTGAGAGATAGCAGATGAATGCTTTAGGTTTTGTGAGACAACAGGCAAATGTAAGGATGTCATATGGGGACCTTCATCTATTTTCCACGTGTTACAGAGTATCTTTCTTTAGAACTTTTTCACATAATTATAAGTCTAAAAAACTGTCACCTCACGGTATATATAAAACAGGCAGATATTCGCTGACCAGTGATCCCTACAGTTTGCTCACCTCTGGTTCCCTTCTTTCCTCTCTTGCTTTTTTTCCTTCTTCCCTCCCTCCCTTCTTCCCTTCCTCCTTTCCTTCCTTCCTTCCTTCCTTCCTTCCTTCCTTCCTTCCTTCCTTCCTTCCTCATCAGGGTCTCACCATGTTTCCAAGCTGTTATAAAATGATCCTCCTGCCTCAGCCTTCCACGTGGCCACCACATGGTACCAGAAAAGCAGCACTTCCCTGGTGGGCATGTTAAAAACAGCCTTTGTTGGTCACGGTGCAGGTTAGAGGTCTGATGAGCCCTGGACTTGCACTTTGCCGTGGGCACACACTGGCGCTATTCGTTCACTGCCCATGCTCTGAGCAGTACTGACGTCCCACATGCCCCCTGGTGTGGACAAGAAACTAAGGCTCAGGTAAGTGACATGCCCAAGTCACACCCTGCAGGCGAGTAAGGCATCTGCACTGACAGCTCCCAGCGTTCTCTTGCCTCAGAAAACTCCTCTCTGAACTGCGATGCTCTCTGAGCCTCTTTAAATCCCCCTGCTGGGACAGACCCCAGCTCCTACCTTCATGGTCACAAATCTCTCACAAAAATCTAGCTCAGGAGAAAGCCTTCCTCACACCCCTCAGACTTGCCTGCTCTTATCTGCCACCATTCTCTGACAGGTTTGTGGATGACGCTGGCCTGCCTGCCCATCTCTGAAGCCAGAGTCCAAGTCCTAGTCCTCTTTGTATGTAATTATTTGTGTGATAACAGACAAATAGGAAGTCCCACTGAAATATTCATTGAATAAGGCTTGAGATGTAGAGCAACTGTCTAGAAATATGCATTGAATGAAAGAATATACGAGTGGATGGATGGATGGAGGGAGGGAGGGAGGGATGGATGGATAGATGAATGGATGAGTGGGTGAGAGATGGATAGATGGGTGGGTTGTGGGTGAATGGATGGGTGATGAATGGTGGACAGTTAGATGCATGAGTGAATGGGTGATTGGATGGATAGATAAACGAATATATACTCTTATGATCTATCCTGTGGAAGTAATTTTCATAGCAAAATTGAGGCCAGTCCCCTAGCTCTGCTGAAGCACAAGCTAAAACCTAGGTGTTTACAAACCTAGAGAGTAAACAGAAATGATGACATCTTATTAGGTGTCTGATGAGTGTGCATCCACAACCTTGCACTAGTCCATTCCTGCCAATCTTCTTAATAGCCGCTTTATTGCCCCACCTTTTCTGATAAGAAAACGGATACAGAGAGGCAGAGTAGCCTACCTAAAGCCACACAGCAAATATCACCCTCGACCATCTGTTTCTTTGCCAGCTACCCTGCCCTTTCCCACTGCCCCTTCCAGAACCCCCTCAAGCTCTGCGGGCCGAGCTGGGCTCACCTCCATCGGCGTAGGTCTCCGTGCCGTAGCCGTCCTGTAGGCCGTTGTTCCAAGTGCCCTCGTACTTGGCACCGCTGCTCGTGCTCTGCCGGATTCCGTAGCGCCCCTTGAAGCCATGTGTCCACTCTCCCTTGTAGAGCCAGCGCCCCTTGGTCTCTATGCCAAGCCCATGCCTCTTGCCCTGGCTCCAGTATCCCTCAAAGGTATTCCCGCTGGGCCAGGTGTAGACTCCTGCCACTTCAAAGCCAAAATTCCAGGAGCCCGAGTATTCACCCTGGCCCTTGGGGCCGGTGCATAGCCCGTGCCCGTGCGCCTTCCCTCCCTCCCAGCCCCCACAGTACGCCCCGCCATCGTCAAAGTCAAAGCGGCCCCCACTCATCTCATCCTCGCTCCTGACAACGCCTCCGTCCTCCAGCTTGGGCCTTTGGGGTACCTGATGCTTTCCAGGCACCTTCAGGCTGAGCCCCTAGACTCACCACCGGGCTCTCCAGGAGTGGGAAAAAAACAAGATGCCAGCAGAGGCGGAAAGAGCCCAGAGGCCAAGTCAGCAGTGGGGGCGCTGGTCAGTGCCATGGCTGGGAGGCCCCCTCAGTCATCCCAGCAAGGCAGCAACTGGAAAAAGAAGCGGACAGAAGAGACTCCAAGTTCCCACAAAGCGTCCCAGGTCCAGCTTCCATGGAGTCCGGTGTGCCCTCCTTAAAAAGAGCAGTGAAAGGAGTTGAGGGGTCCTGTGTTTTCAAAGAGGGGCAGTTCCCAGGAGAGCAACCTAGCCGAGGCTGAATTGCCCCCGCCCACCCTGAAGCAGCCGCTGGCCCCCTTCTCATCCACCCCAGTGGGCGTGCGGCTCAGATCTCCCGGGCTGCCCCGCCCCTTCTCCAGCCCTGCCTTCCTCCCAGGATAGAAAGGTCAGTGTTGCCCTAACAAGGCCGTTGGATCTCAGAAGCTGCTCCCAAAATAACCCCCGAGCTGGCCCAGCCTCCTTCAGAGCCGGAGGGAGGGGGCCTTCCAATCCGCTGGGCTTGCAGACCCAGGCAGTGGCCCTAGGGCTGAACGGGAAATCTGAGAACCAAGTGTAGACAGCCACTTGGTGGCTAGCCTTCTTGTGGGTCAGAGCTGCCTCCCACCTGGGAGTCCCCAGGATCTGCAGGCAGGGAGCCTGAGACCAGCAGACTGCCCTATCCCGGGCCACCCCTTATCTCCCGGAGGGCAGAGGATGGCAGACATGGGGCCCTACCACTGGGGGCATACTGTGACAGGACCTGGGGCTTCAGTGCCACTGCCAACCCCATGGAAGAATCCAGTGACCTACAGAGAAAGGAATGGGGGGACGGTAACACATATGCCTTTGAAAACAGAGTGGAACTCAGAATGGGCTGAGAAGGTCTAGCCACAGTCCCTAACATGAGCAAGTCCCAGCTTAGTGTTCATGTCCTCATCCCACGCCCCGCACAGAAAACTGGGGAGAACACTGATAGAAGGAATCAGTTCAGGAGGCCGGGGAGATGGCCGCGTTGATAAAGTACTTGCCATGCAAGCCTGAGGACTTCAGTCTGATCCCCAGAACCCAGTTAAGAAATGGGGGGGGGTGAGGGGGGAGGCAAAGAACCAGGTGTGAAGGCATGAGCTGGGGAGGTGGAGACTGGCAGATCCCTGGAGCTCACTAGATGCACAATCTAACTTAATCCGTTAGCTCCAGGCTAATGAGAGATACTTTTTAAAAATTGGGTGTACTCTAAGAAATGACACCCAAAAGAGACCTTTAGCCTCTACACACACACACACACACACACACACACACACACACACACACACACACACAAGCTAAAGTCAGTTATCTGACTTCAGGCATGTCTCCTTGACATATTTCCAAGTCCCATGATGGTTTGGTCCCTGAACGTCACTGTGGACGTTTCCTTGTTGTAGAAATGGGCAGAACGTGTTCTCTGCTTCCCACTCTACTGATAACCAGTTCTTATGACTCGGTTCCTGCCAATTGCTGGTTCTCATGATGACCTGCGTAGCCACTGATCTCACAGAGTCCCTTTGGTCCCCCTTCCAGCACCAGCCTCCACACAAACTGTCATTTTGTCCATGTGGCTGTCACCCTGTCCAGGTGGACCTTCAGCCTGCTCAGGCCATTCCCCACTGAAAACAGTTTCTGTTTCTTTCCCAGATTCCTTCCAGCTTGGCAGTCACAGGAAGCTGTTATCCCTGTTCACTCCTAGCAGCTCCCCGTGATGGTGTTCCTTCTAGAAGAAAAACCTACAACCATACAAACAGGCTGCACAGCCCCACGAGACCAGTGAAGTTCAGTCCTCCTGGGAGAGGCCCTGGGTGGTTGCCTTTACCTGGAGCTCCCAGCACCCCACATCTCTGACTTTAAAATAGATTTTTATCTATTCATTTTTAAAGATTTATTAACAACTGTGTGTATCCGTGTATAGGCACCTGCACACGAGTGCAGGTCCCCTTGGTGGCCAGGTGCTAGATCTCCTAAGACTGGGAATACAGGTGATTGTAAGCCACCCAATGTGGATGCTAGGAACTTAGAGTCCTTTGCAAGAACAGCACCCCTTAACCACAAAGCCATCTCTCTGGCTCCTCACTTATTTATTATTATATTTACACCCTCCCCACACACTGTGAGTGTGTGTGTCTGTGCATGTGTGTGTATGAGAGAGAGAGAAAAAGAGAGAGAGAGAAGAACATATGTGGAGGTCAGATGACAACTTGAGGGAATCCATTTTGTCCTTCCATCTTGTGAGTGAGTCTCAGGGGTCAAAGGTCCTGTATCTCTAGAACTTGCCTGGGATCAACATTGACGATAATCACCACCACCTTACATGGCTGGGGGGGGGGGGGAAGTCACAGGAGTTTCACTAAAGAGAGGGATCAGTACTTATGAACACTTGCTGCTCTCGCAGAGGACTCAGGTTTGGTTCTCAGCACCCCACACCATCCGTAACTCTAGTTTCAGGGGATCCATCTCCCTCTCTGGCTTCTGTGGGCACCAGGAAAGCCCATGGGACACAGACAGATCTACATATAGGCAAAATACAACTATTAAACAAAGAAGATTCCTATTTTGAAGGCATTAAACACCTAAAACAATGCTGGCCATTATTACTACTCTCACATAACAAATTGCTTTTCAGGCTACTGTGATTAATAAAATAGTCACCAAAGAAAGACTAAATACTAAATACCTTGACATTGAAGGACTCCAGCTAGTCATTCAGCATTACCCTGTGGCTCCTCTGTTGCCAGAGAAGGCCTAGACTAGTAAAGGAGCACTTTGATTTTGCAAAAACAAAATTTAGATTGCAGAATTTGCCATTGGCGTTAACTATGCAGCCAGAGCTGAGCTGTCTTCCAAGCTGTAACTTCCCTGTCCCATCTCTCTGTCTTCAATACTGTGAATTCTGGAGAAAGCATGCCCCCTTGTGGGTATGTGTATATTACAACAGATTCTGCTCGGGAAAACAAAGTTCTTAAAAAAACTTACTAAGCTCGTACAAGTTTAAACTGTTTTTAAAGATGAATTGGGTTGGAAAGATGGTTCAGCAGTTCCAAGCAACTGTTGCTCTTGCAAAGGACCTACGTTTGAGTCCTAGCACCCACCTAGGTCCCAAACCATGCCTGTAACTCCAGTCCCAGAGGATCTGGGGCCCTTAGGCACTGCATGACATACATTCAGGCAAAACATCCTTGAGGAAAACAAACAAACAATGTCTTGCCAAGATTCACTTGCCAAGATTCACTTGATATGTTTGTGTCCCACGCTGGGCCGCCCATGCCTGCAGCGGCTGCTCCTGAGGCCTCCCTTGTGAAAACTGCTTTTTCAGTTGACATTTTTTTTTTTTTTTAGTTTTTTTAAATAATTTATTTAATTTTATTTTATGTGCAAAGATTTTATATCAGTGTGAAGATATCAGATCTGTTAGAATTGGCCTTACAGACAGTTGTGAGCTGCCATGCAGGTGCTGGGAATTGAACCCAGGCCCTTTGGAAGAACAGTGTTCTTAACCACTGAGCCATCTCTCAGGACTTTTGAGTCTTCCTCTTTAGTTAGCCCAGTGCCTCCCAGGTTCCCTGACCATTGCACCTTGGGTGTCCTGGACACTTTAATCCTGACTTTTCTTTTTTTTTTTAATATATTTTTATATTAATTAGTTGTTCACTTTGTCTCCCAGCTGTAGCCCCCTCCCTCATCCCCTCCCAATCCCACTCTGACTTTTCTTTTTTGAGACAGGTTTCACAGTGTTGCCCAGGCTGGCCCTCAAAATCCTACCCTCAAGCTATCCTCCTGCCTCAGCTTCCTGAGTAGCAGAGACTACAGATGTCTATCACTGTGCCTAGACTTATTTGACTATATGTATTTGTGCACACTCACACGTGTGCTTTACTACTCGGCTAAATCCCTGAGGCTACCTCTTTGTCAATTTTTAAGTTGTGTGTGTGTGTGTGTGTGTGTGTGTGTGTGTGTATACATGTATGGCACAGTGCACATGGAGGCCAGAGGGTAACTTTCAGGAATTGGTTCTTTCTTCCACCATATGGGTCCCACGGACTTAACTAAGGTCATTAGCTTTGGTGGCAAGCGCCCATTACCCTGAGCCATCTTGTCTTGCCTGCTCCTTTAACTTTTATATACTCACTGCCTAGGTGTTCTCTTCTTATGGCTTTAAAAACAACCTATTTTTTTAAAAGTAAATTGTTTCAAATAGGTCTTTCTAGCAGTTTCAGACCCAAAAATGAGCAGAAAATACAGCGTTCACCCATACTCCCTTCTTCTTCTAAAATCCTACATTAGCATATCCATATACTGATAGCACCTACGTTTGGCTCTCCAGCTGTGCCTCTCCTCCCGATTTCAGTAATTAATGCAAGCACCCACTCAACAGTTCTATGTAGCTAATACTAATCTCAGACAAAAACAGAGCCAAATTTCCAATTCCCCCTCCCAAATCTAAGCCAGCTCTGAACCTAAAAGCTGCTGGAACATTCTTAATCCCTGTCTTCCTCACACCCTGCATTGGGTCTCTCTTCTGCTCTACCTGTGAAGTAATTACAGAACAGCCCCTGCACTGTCCAGCCACCCAAAGCTACAACCTCCCAATAACCTACTCAATAGCCAGTGTTTGGGTCTCTGTGCTACATTTCTGTAACCCCAGCACTAGAAGGCCAAGGCAGGGGTGAGCCAGGGCTAGTGTGAGCCCATCTCCAAACCTCCCTTCAGGTCTTCCTTCACACATCCACCAAGTGGCTATTTCACACACTAGGAGCCAGAGCTTTTCAAACCACCCACTGATTATCCACAGACTGACCCCACCCTGAACCTCTTCACCCCACCTGCTCTGGCAGCGTTTAGATTCCAGT